CGACTGACATGGTTGTCCTGAGATATAGGTGACAGATTTACTGAAAATGGAGAAAAGAAAATGAGAAAAAAATGGTGAATAATCAGTTCTTCTGTATTATTTAATCCTTAAAATAAAAGATAAAACCTGACTGATTGCTATTGCGAACAACTGTACTTTTGTTCACATTTTTCCTCCAGGCTAATGAATTAGCCCCGTAAGCTGGTGTTAAGGTCATCAGCACAGTGTTTATAGATGCACACTTTGTCAACACAAGCATGCACATTACTGATCATTCCAAAGAAAGATTATTGGACAATCAGAATTTCCAACCACCATCTTTTGCCTCGGTCAGCCAGTTCCCATATCATTAAGGGAAAACATAAACGTATATGTTGTATTCACCCTATGGCTTCATTCACAACTGTGAATGGTGCTGGATTGCATGAGCCACATAAACTCCTCTGTGAGACTCATGTGACCTCCTGCCAGCAGGAGCTGCTGTATTAAACCAATGACAGTTGACATCACCTGCAGCTATTGACATGCAATTGCACAGTCTTAAATTACCTGTGTTTGATCACTTCTGGGCGCAAAGAGTCTGCGTTCAGGTGCGGTCATCTGATAGTGACTGCAGCATGTGCAAATACTGTACTTGCAAGCAGCCTGTGAACAGCTGCAGGTGGTTCACCCAAAGAAGTCCGCATTAGTCTCATGGAGGAAGCTGTGAACCTCAAGTGGTCTGGCCCCATTCACAGTTGTGAATGGGGCCTTATATATTACACTGACTTCTGTACACTGGTAGGTGCACATCTATATAAGAATCAACTGTGTAAAGAACATTATATCCAAAAGAATGCACAGACAAAAGATGCTTATGGCCATGTCGGTGGACATGATGGGACTATAACAGAAAACTGGTTAACTGGGGTCAGTTGAATTGGAAATTTGATGGATAGGCTGGCAGTTTGTTCTAGGTCACTCAAACCAAGTGAGTAGCATTTTTTTAGAAGGAGAATTCAGCAGTGGCCAAGTTTCTCTCATGACAAGCTTACTTTAAGTGACTGAAACTGTAATGGGATGAAAGAGAAAAACAGGGACAGTGGAGCTGATGTGAGATTTGTGTAAAATCTGCTACATTGTTAGTGCATACTGTACAATTACAAAGATTAATGATTTTCAGCATATCAGACTGAATGTGGACCTCAGTTTTCTAAACCACTATCACACATTTTTATGACTATTCCCCTCTCTGTGACTATCACTCTTCTCTTTCTTTCCATTCCGTAGCCCACTCTTGTCCTCTTGACCTAACTTTCTCACTTCTTTTTTTACCCTGTATGTGTGTGTGTCTTTTTTCAGAGATTGTTGTTCTTAACATTGTGGTAAAGCTTTTTGTATCAGTACTGCTTGGACTGATAAGAAGGGAAAACTCAAAAGCATGTCCTGATCATTTAACTTAGTGCAAATAAAAAAAGTATAACGGACTTGACTTTTAGGAAAATGCTTGTTTAAATTTCAAACAGCAATTATTACATTTCATGTAGTAGATCATTCAACGTGTCAACCGCACAGCTGTTCTATGGACAGCCTAAAGCATTTAGAGTGACACTAAACTCAGGAGTTAAATCCTAAAAATGCATTCAAATACCCTATTAACAAAAATGTATGTTATTTGTGTATCAATCGGCTGTAGATCTTTAAATAATCTCTGAATTGGTGCTGACACTGTCCTTCCTTCCTGTGTGTGTTGTGAAGTAGCCACCAATCCAAGCTCACTCCCGTGATGGACTACAATCTCACATTTAATTCTCTAGAGTGTATTGAGATTGTAGGCCATAACGGGAGCGAGCTTGGAGTGGTGATTACTTTACAACACACACAGGGTCCATGGAGAACAAAAGTATCCCCCCTCCAGAAGGAAGGACAGTGTCAGCACCAATTCAGAGATGATTTGAGGATCTACAGCTGAGTGGTACACAAATAAGATACATTTTTGTTAATAGTGAAGGTACCTGAATGCATTTTTAAGATTTAACTCCTGAGTTTAGTGTTATTTTAAGACCTGCATAATGGAACCAGAAGTATTTACAGCAGGTTTATTAAAAGAGAACTATGGCCCAACCTAATCTGGCCATTGTTCTCTTTAGGGTCACAGGAGGATATTTACTATGTCCTCCGATGACCCAAAGCTCAGCATATAGTGGGCTATTGCCCGCCCACTCACCATACGTCACTCCAGTCAGTGCTGAAGGAACAAAGAGGGGGGAATTCCTGCGGGGGGTAGTGACTGACAGTCACCTCTCCCTGCAGGGAGAAGATCATGAACTGAGTGATTTGTGGTATGTGATCGCTCAGTTCTCGATCTATAGAGCCGACGTGTGACAGCTTCAGTGTCACACATCGGCTCTAATTATGGAGATAAATGTATATCACTCTACCTATGATTCTCCTTTAAAATGCATGATGGTATAAGGGGAGGAGGGGGTCTTTAGCCCAGAAGGGAAAGACTCAGGCAGGGCTGAAAACACTGCTCTGAATTTTAGTGTAGCAGAAGCAGTGTTGTCACCTCTTTATAGGAAGTTAGTAGCTTAGTGAATTTCTGGCAAGTTCATTGGGCATTTTTTTATACTGTTCACATTTTTAAATGGGATTAAACATGGAAATTGTATGAGTGTAAATGTTTTTTTCCCAGACATACACTTTAACCTTATATGACTGGTGAAGTTCAAGAAGTGAAGGCATAATTGTGCACAATAGAACATTTCCTTTAACGTTTATACATGACAAGATGTACCGAGGACAGGAATAACAGAGTAGAGTGACAATTAGCTGGGAGCATGCAATTGATTCCATAAAGCTAAATTTCTTCAATGAAAGGACTCATCCTTATGCATTTGCATTAAGCAGTTTATGAGCAGTTAATGAAGCAGGCAATATTTAGATCTGAATAATACAGCTCATCTCCCAAGTTTGCATTGCTGCACATAAATCCGTATGTGTAGGTCTGCTGGGAAGGCAGCAACTTTAATGTTGCATCTTAAAAAGGGGGAAAAAAAGCTCCTGGCAATGATGGCCTCATTTATATGTAACAAGAAAAAATAAAGCCAAAGTACATTGCTATTTGCTGAGCCTTTCAGACCAAATCTGAATTATTTGCCCCATGCTGATAAAGAATTTCAATTAATCACAAAGTAAATGTTGTACGCTTATACCACCACTTAGAGTCTCACCAGGTATGAAAATACAGTGTTTACTTAAAGACAAAAAAAACTGTTATCATTTGAAAAAAAGTCTAAGGAATGATGACATAATCTGTGATTCTACAGTACTAAAAGAGCAGAAGGAAAAGGGTCTGACCTTAACATTTTACTATTGCTGCTCCTTTATCCAAGCACAGGACCGGAATTAAATCTCAACTGTTGTTTACCCTTTACCTCAACCTAACTCTAAACTCTAAGAGGTTGATTTGCTAAAGGCAAATAGGCTGTTTCCTTTAACTTAGTGAATGTGGTGCAATTTCACTTTGCAAAGAATACTCAATCATGTTCAATGAAAATAGAAAAAAAAAAGTATTTTGATTGCACATGATTGGCTGATGGAAGTCAGCAGAGCTTCACCCCTTCACTAAACTAAGGAGAAACTTCCCCTGTTAAGTCCAAATCCCCTTGCAAAGTGAACAGCCTATTTGCCTTAAAAAAACCCATAAAGCTCAAATTAAACCCTAAACCTTAACATCAACCAAACCTTAACCTTTGAATGAATCATCATTTTATTTATTGTGGGGAATGTTTAGAACCTCTGTTTAGTTTGCATTGCTGTGTGTGTCTTTTTCCTCTTACTTCTTGTCTCTGTGGAACCCTGTTACAAGGGAAATCTACATAACAAAGCCAAGGGCATTTAAAAATAACTTTTATTTGGATTAACACTTCTAACTAGGGATGCATCTGTATGTCGGTATCGAGTACGAGTACTGACATTTTTTTTTGGTACTCGCCGAATACCAGAAGTCCCATTCAGGAAGCCAGGCGGCGTGTAATGACCCACCACCTGGCTTCCTGATTAGCAGGGAAGCTGCCCACATGCTTCTCGTCACTGTGACGAGGAAGCATGCAGCCGGCTTTCTGGCCAATCAGGAAGCCGGGCGCTGTGGAATGACGCGGCGCCAGGCTTCCTGATTGGTCGGGAAACCAGCTCCATGCTCCCTCGTCATGAGGAGACGTGGGAGCATGAAGCCGGCATTCCGACCAAATAAATTGTGCGCCACGTCATTACACGCCGCCTGGCTTCCTGATTGGCCAGCTTCCGACCAATCAGAAAGCCACAAGTGACGAGAGAGCATGGAGCCGGCTTCCCGACCAATCAGGAAGCCGGGCAGCGTATAATGACGCGCTGCCCGGCTTCCTGATACCAGAAGTATCAGGCTAGGAATCGGAGCATTTGGGCGAGTACAACTACTCACCCAAATACTCAGCATCGGCACTGATAATAGTATCGGTATTGGTGAATCCCTACTTCTAACCCATAAACTCATTCCAGCCCCACTCTAACACATTTAGATAAGCAGAATCACTGAGGAGAGACTTCCACTTTTCCTTATGGAATTGCTTAACATCTTACTGGTCTGGCTACTGAGAGAGCGCGTGTATAGAAAAAGGTAGGTAGTCAGTTAACCATCCTGTTACTTGTGGGTTGTCACCACTAATAGAATATAACAAGTGCCCAAATATTATAAGTTCTTGCCACAAGGTCAGTAATATGTGGCAGGTTTAGGATTAGGTCAGAAATAGGCATTAGAATGGTGTTAGAGGTTAGAGGGTTACAACAGAGGATTAGCTGTGGATCACAAAGATCACAGGGTCCAAGCACCCGCTCTTTTTTATTTGTTATATAGTGTTGTGGTCACATGAGTAGCACACTAGAACTCCAGTTTGTTTGAACTGAACACACAGCTTCTACTACAATGTTATAAAAACACATTAGTTATCCATAAATCATTTGAGTACTTGAAAAAAATTTACCTGGGAGATAATTTGCAGCCATTCTGTATGAATGTACTAAGTTTTCCTGAGGCAGCCAGCATTAGTCCCAGGTATGGAGGAGAAGGTTTCATAGGTCTGGATGAGAATTCTGGATGGAATTGCACACCTACAAAGTATGGGTGATCTGCAGACAAAAAACTCAGTTATCAGATCAGTCAACATCTTCCTGGTGGTCTTGACAGTTTTCTGTACATGACAAGGTAAGCAAAGGCATAAGACAGCAGTCTAAAGAAGTAATCCCCTATGCTCATTCTAAAAATAAGTGTCATAAACATGAGCAAATGTACTGGCAAACATCCTTAATATTGACCTTATTTCAAGGAGATCGGTTTGCAAAATCCATTTTAGACATTTTCTATCAGCCTGGGAGTGTCCACGCAGGTCAGGTGTAGCCCATACACAAATCATGGTTTCCTAAACAATGTAGATCTTATGTCTTTGAGTACCTTTCACTTTTTACTTGCTCCCTAATAAAAGGCCCCGTGGGCAGGTAAGGATCATCAAGTCATCAACAAAGACTTATTTATCCACAAGTGAACAGGAACTGTTTGTATAAGCCCACAACAGGTAGAACAGCAACCAGATGTAAATCTGCTTTGGAAAATATTTGGAGAATAATAGTTTGAACCTGATTAGAATAATCTTTTGCTGTTGTGCATATACAACTGGTTTCTATTACGAGAATTATTTTCTTTTTGTTTAAAAATACATTCACTCTAGTTCTGGGGTCTCAACGTACCACTTTTCTCACAGTATGAAGCACATTGCCACCTGTGAATCCTCCCCTTAGAGTTATATCATTTTTTCCCCTTTTATTTACTCTATTAAAACATTTTTTTATGTATTAAACTATTTTTCCTTTAGCACCCATTTCATTTTAGAGGGAGGTACCTCATGGGAGGTACCCCTGAGGAGGTAAACCTCAGAGAGGTGCTTTTTCCTTTAGCACCCATTTCATTTTAGAGGGAGGTACCTCATTCCTACATCAAATCTCTCTTTTACCTCCCTTAGGTGCTTAGGGATTTATTAGAGCGAGGGAAAATGGAGATTTGATGGGGGAATGCAAAAAGAGAAAAAAGTAACGGGGTTACAATGGTCAATAGAATTGAAAATAGGAAATGAGGTTCCTCCTTCTAAAATGGAATGGGTGCTAAAGGAAAGAGGAAAAAAAGAGTTTATTAAATGAAAAAGATTTTACTAGAGTAAAAAAAAAAAGAAAACATGTTATATAAATCTAAGGGGAAGATACACAGATGGCAATGTGCACCATACTGTGAGAAAAGTGGTTACAGACACAATTACACATTTAGGCAAGTGAGAATTCATGTTCACAGTTTTACTAGACTTTGTTAAACTGTGTGTATATGGTGTCTGGAGACGGCAACCCGCAGATGCTGCAGTGCCGTCCGTCCGTTTTTTTACTACGGGCGGACGGCAAGAGGTTAAAGACAGTGAGATAACGAGGCTGATTTAATAAAGGAGTTGAGAATCTTAATTTATTGTGTGAAGATGCTCAACACCATTAGTAAATCAGTCCAAATGTTTTGGGGTTCTTGTCACATTTTGCATTGGAGTACAGAGTTTAATAGCTTCTGGATAAGGTTGGATAAATCCCTGGTAGCCAAAACATAACAGAAACATTCAATATTAACCTTCAAGTTCAACGACTTCCATTCTCTGTCCCTCTGTGTCATGTCCAACAAATCTTAAGCCTTTTTCTTCGAACTGCTGTGTTAGCTCTGGGTTTACCTGTGCAGAATGATGGAGATTTGTAACAGTCTATCAAAGCGTCTCTCTCCTTGACTGCAAGTATGAAGCATATAAAGTGCAATAATGCAATGCTCAGACCATGAAGGTGACTTTCACATGTCTCAGACTAGTCACATTTTAGCACAGCACATGGTGATTAAGTGTCTTTACAACAAGCAACGACCATGACTCTAAAGTAAAAGTAAAGTTTTTTCTTTCTGGGTCAGGCTGACACATTTCCACTTGTTGTATGAAGTTTCCATTATATACTTGTTACCATACCTCTTTATAATACACCTGTCAATCTAAATTGTCTTCTGCTAGAAATTTTAGAAATTAGAAATTTGTTTCTTCAAAAGTCAATTTCCATCTCATTATGGGAACAGCCACTGGACATTTTGATGTGTTTCCTGTGATTAGTCTGAGAGGGTATTTTTACATCTATAGGAAAACTGTATATCTGTGCCCCATTGGGGAGATTTCCCTTAACTTCCTGTCCTGTAGACACAACAAAAAACTGGGAGAAGACCTCTTTAAAGTAAGAGGAATTCTTTTTTGAACAGTTACAACCAGAACAAGTGTCCCCACTGGAAGATTTCCCTTCTGTTCATGCTTCCTTGACAAATGAAAATGTTGGATTGTCCCTGGACAAATCGAGAGGGCAGACCATTCCAAAAGGCACACAAACAGCAATAGAAACATGGCAGGGGCTCTATCCAAATCTGTTTTCAGGTTTCAGTTACACTTTAAGCAGAAAAACATATTTATACTTTTGGATAGAGTGGCGAGGAGTTTCAGTCTCTTTCAGGTTTTTATTGGTGTTTGTGTCCTCCAGAGAGATTTTCCCCACTTCCTTCTCATGTGTCAGGATATCCTTGAGTCTGAAAATTTTATGAAGATTTAAAGGAGAACAGAAAGGAAGGTGAGTGCTGTATTTTTTATTATGATTTGGTATTCTTTGCAAAGTAAATTTTCACTTTGTCTTAAGTCATCCACTGAGATAAGTGAAAATTATGAAAGTGCTCTACTCCTTTAGTGAATCAATCCCAGTGACCATATACCAGTAGAATTTTGCTCGCAAAAATTAGTTTTTGGAATGTTTGTTCAGTTTTCCAATAGTTAATGGGGTCAAATCAACAATAGTTTTAAAGAAAAAAAATTGAAGATGGAGACATTTTTCTTGAACAAACAAACTTCTAACATTAAGGTTGTTTTCATTTCTCTAAACTCCTTTCATTCCAAAATCAAACCTTAGAATTAAATGAAATTTTGAACAACATTCTACAAGTCTTTGGCAGCATTATTGAATGTCCTGATGAAATTTTTCCTATGAACGCTCGTACCCAAATTCTCAGAATCCAATGCCAATATGTGAAAATCTCATGAAATCCAATAAGGTTAGAGAGCTGTCTTGCTCCTCCAATGCTTTCCTATTAGTAGAATTACTGGATAATGAGAAAGCACTGGAGGTATGGGGTCAGGGTTGAAATTTGCATATAAAAACAGTTCAGAGTTTGGAGGGGGTGGGCGGGGGAGGGTTTCAGGGTGCTGCAGCAGACATCTAAAGGACATGGGGTGGCACCTCTAGGGCCCACACTGTAATGCTGTGGCCTGTTTAACTTGTTTGAACAGGTGTCAGATGCATTTGAAAGGAAATATATTGCCTTTTAAATTTTTAGCTATATATGTGGATATTATCAGGTAATGCAAACTTATAACCAATAAAAGTTAATGTTTTAGAAACCATTTTTTTAGACATAGTTTCTCATTACATATGTTTATGAGGCAGGTATTTGCTTTTTGCTTAGTAGTACTGCACAATAATTGTGGTTTACTGCTCCTTTCATTTGGTTGAAGTTTATCAGTCTGATTATACTGATTGAAAGCATCAGACTTTCAATGTGGCCTTTATTTTACCAGTTATTTACCAGGAAGAATGAATGCATGCCTAATATAATGACAGCCACGACAGGTAGTACAAACAAATCTGTATCTGTGATACATTGATGATATGAAACAGCAAGTATGTAAAAAAGTTAAAGTCACATAAAAATGGTTTCAGGTAAAAATTATCAAAATGTCTACCTATAATACATTATTGTTTTTAGTAAAGGAGATATTCACGTTAGTTAAAAAAAAGGAGGATTCAAGTTAGTTAAAAAAAAGCAGCATAGGAGGATTCTCAACCCTGTCCATTACTTTTATCACCTGTTGCAGAAAACCATAGTCCAGAATGAAATAGAAAAGTAACATTTATTGATATTAAGCATGGCTTGTGTAGTTGTTATATTTTTATACTGATATTCTTTTTTTCTTTTTAATAAGAATGACACATATTTTCTAAATATCCAAGAAAATGCACCGTGCCATGCCTACTCTTTGACAGAACTTCAAGGCCTCATTCACACTAGAAAAGGCCAGCACGTACAACTCCATGCTGCGTGCAGAGCCGTATCGGGCAGCTCCCGGGAAGGCAGATGCTGCGTGTGATTAGTACGCAGCCCCCGTCCTTCTCTATGGGAGTATGCGGCCATACGCCCCCCTACGCTCACCTCTAGTGCAGGTCTGTGCGGGTGCGTGTTTCCTGGCTCGGATGCAGACAGGATCCATCCTGTCAGCGTACGAGTACGCTCACCCGCACGGACATGCAGGGCGGGTAAACGTAGGGTGGCGTATGGCTGCGCAGTCCCATAGAGAAGGACGGGGGCTGCGTACTAATCACACGCAGCATCTGCCTTCCCGGGAGCTGCCCGACACGGCCGAGCACGCAGCACGGAGCTGTACGTGCCAGCCGTTTCTAGTGTGAATGAGGGCTAAACATTGAAAATGGCTGACAGTTTTGCTATGAGTTTCCACATGATTCAGATGGCTTGAATAAAACCTATTTACTCTTGCTTATGTCTGTTGTTCCTTTTTTTGTAAAAAGTCCTGTTACATGAAATATTAACGAGAGTGCCAAGGTGTAGCTGACAGTCTAGATAAAGTTTATTCGTCAAAATAGTCAATTGAAAAACAGCCAATGCATTTTAGGGGTTCCAAGAGCCCTCTTTGGCAGGGCTTCATGATGCCTGACCGGACAGAAGGTCTGGCCAAAAAAAAGTGTTGAAACCCTGGAATTAAACTTTGGAAAGTAGTATCAGGTTAAACCAGGTACTTTAGCAGACCTTATAATCTTCTTTTTAGAATCCTTAAGGGTTTTGAATGGTTTTAAATGACTACTTTGACATATATTTTATATGAAGTGTAAACAGTATCTTTGAGCTTTTTTCCTTCTACAAACTTTGAGATGCTACTCTGAGGGCCAAGTCAGGGCCCTTTTTGCACTTAAGAGCTGTCTTTAAAAAATCTTCCATGCCAGATTGGAATATTGACCTACACGAGGTCCAGTGCTATACCACCTCAAGTCCTCATCCATGATATTTTAAGTCATAGATAGATGGCAAAGGAGGAACCTTCACAATCAGCCTTTCAAGACTGTTATGATGTGAGAGCAAAATGGATACCCTAAAATGTATGTACTGTATGTAATTCTTTCTTATTGACCTAAACACCGCAGCTCATGAAAGGTGAAGTTTGGCTCAAAATTACTTATGCTATCCTACTGTAATCATCTCTGGGCCCCCCTTAGCTGACAGTATCCAGTGTTCAGGGACTCTGCTTGAGAATGTCTAGTCCAATCACATATTTTAAAGAGAAGATAAAGTGGTTTTCTAAATATTTTATTTATTTAATGCAGTCAACTTTAGAAATTATATTTTATATGTATTTAGGTAAATATGATTTATTGCATATGTAAAGTTTTTATTCTTATTTTCAAGCACGAGGAGGAGCTTTAGGATCCCTTTCACATGTTTTCCAGTGACTCATTCCCCCTCTTCCCCCTCCAAGCAAAAAGTTCAAAATTGTAATCAGACAGAAAGCTAAAAAGCATTTGCTGTGCTTGCTTCTAGTGCTGTGACTCCAAGGTCATGGGTGCACCCCATATTAAATGTGTACTGGCAAAACAAAACTTTTATATAAAGTAGTAAAAACAGACATAAAACATCAATTTAAAACTTTATAAATGACACACAAAAAAAGAAATTGGTCCAACATAATTTCCCTTTACTACTGCAGTACTTTTCGAAAAATTAAAGCCCAACAAAGACAAGTCAGAAGGGTTGAATAGTAGGGCTGCATACCATAGACCTCTATACCTGCAGTTACAGATTCTCCAAGCTTGTTTCTTCTGTCTCGAGCTTATCTCTGAAACAATCAATTCCTATGAACACAAAGATCTAACATCAGACATCCTGCTCCGACTGAGAAGTATCAGGAGAAGGAGCAGTGGAGAAGCTGGGCTCTAGCTTACAAGACTGGTTCTCAGCTGGGAGTCGGGCCAACTATTGCTATAAAGAGAGGTAGCTCCAAGAACAGGCGTTTGTGGCAAATAGAGTTTAACGGGGAAAAAAATAGAACTTACGACTGATAAAAACGTCTAGCATTTTACTCCTTTATTTATTTTAAGTTTTGTTTTTGTGAAGAATATCTGATTTCAAAATAATACTGCATAGGGAGCCTTCCAATCAATGGCAGGATACTGAAATATTAATGAATTCCTTTTCATGAATTAGGAGTTATACAAATTCCTCAACCATTCACCAAGTAATATTAGATGTTTATATTATTTGGATGATTGCTATTAAACCTGTATTCTTTTTTTATTTGAGCTAATTATTGGGGGGAACAGGGAGCTGCCACTACTTGCAATGTCAGCTTCTCTATATGCGATACTTGCTCAAGTCTGGGGGGAAGACTCCACATTTGTAAATAATTAAGAGCACTTTCCATAGGCAGTAAAACATGACACTAGCTTATCTTCAAAAATAAGAAAATAATTTGTAATGTTCTTTGATCTCTTTTTATTTTTATAATATCATCTGCTATTCCTGCTGAAATAAAAAAGGCAGAAATAAGACTATGGCTGTAGCAACAAATAAGGTGGCTTCTACTAAATAAATGGGAAAATATAAGCCTAATGATACTATAAACATGGTATGTATACTGTATACCTGTATATCTATATTATTGTCTTTAGGTGCACTGATTGCTTGAAAAAATAATATTCTACATAAATGTTAGCTTTCAAAAAACGCACTCGCTTGTATCCCTATGTGTGCACACAGTATACATAACATAATGATACACAAAAATCTATTTTATTCAATGATAAACTTACCAAGTTCAGGTTTGGATAGAACCCAGCATGAACATGAGCTCATCCCTAATCATGGGTGAACTAGGTATAAGAAGTTATATACTTTTTGTTATGGAAAAGTTGAGTACATTCTTTAGGTTTATAGATTAGAGTTGAATGAAAAGTCCTTCTGCATATTTAAATCAGCTGGTGATTTGTATAATCTATTTAGCAGTAAGGGGTGATGATCCACCAAGAAAGCTTAAATGTATATTGTTTTTATTGGCTATCACAGTGATCAGCAGCTGGTCCCCCCGCGCCTGATCGCTTATCTGGGACCAGGAGCTGTCAAAAACATGCCACATATGCAGTGCTACCAATGCATGGCCACTTTTATGATGCCAAATATGTGTCAGGAACAGGTTAAGATGCCTATAGACAAGTGGGGGCGGTGTTAATGCATGCATGATCCTAATGCCCTTGCTGACTTTACAAGTCTATATCATGGGGATCGAAGCAACTGTGAGCAGGATCCTGGTGCCAGTGTAAAGGCAGGAACCATATTGTTTAGGGCAAGTCTTCTGATGACCATTTTAGGCAACTGGTATCACAAGTCCATGGGTAACTGATGTTGTGGTTAGGATTTTGACAAAGAAATAGGGACATTTCCAATAGATGAACTGGATTTAAAAAAAAAAAAAAACAACAACGCATATTCATATAAAAGAAGCTTAACTGAATTAACTGAATGAACTAGAGTTCCTCTTTATGTTCCTAGCCTTAGTATCACACTAACAAGATCAGCTCTCTTAGCCACACAAGACACACCAGTGCTGGGAGTCAAGAGGATGAAAGACAATTTGTTCTGGGTCAGCACACCTAGGACCAATGAGAAGAGAAAGGCAAGCTGTCACCCTACTCTGCTAGTAGTTCAGTTCTGGTACACAGCACACTATTCTACCCACAAAAATGCAATGGCAGCAACAATAAAGGTACAAGCCAGTAAACACTGGCAGAAAGAAAAGTAGTCTAGAAGCTATTTTTATACCAGGGAGAGTTTTACTGACATTAATATGATATGTCTTTAAATGTGTGCCACCAGGGCCTATGTTGACTATGCAGAAATCCATCCCTGCTGTCATAGTCACTTACCTTCCCTGATCTAACGCTGGCACATCCTCTATCTTCAGCAGATGGTTTCACCTGGGGTGTTGCAGCTGCGTCAAGTGACATGTCACAAGACTCAATTACCTATTTAACCTAGAGCAAGATGTGCTGTCAATCCTACCAAAGCCTTTTGCCTCTGCCCAATTCCTGCAGTCTTGCACTCATGCATTTGCAGTCTCTGCTGCAACTTTGCTGCACTTACAGCCTCAGCTACACCTGCAATGCCTGCTGAAATAGCATTGCACCTCTGCAACATCCACATACCCCACTGCACTTGCAGCTGCATCTCGGCAACATCCTCAGACTGTGTCACATCTCTGCCGCACCCACACCCCTGCTGCACCTCTAAAACATTCAGTCTTAGCCACACCAGAGCTGCCCCCACAGCCTCCACTGTTCCTCTGCTATGTCCTCATTCTCTATTGCATCAAAGCTGCATCGCAGTCCTCGCTACACCCGCAGCCTCCATGGCACCTTTGCTGCTCTTATGACCTCCGCAACACACAGCCTCTGCATTTCCTGCAGTCTTTACTAGCACCCACAGTATTTTCAGGATCTACATTCAGAATCTTCACTGCAACATCTATGACCCTGCAGGCTCCAGATTCCCCCTGCCAGCCAATTACATTTTAGGTGTATCAAGGTGGCAAAAGTCCTACAGTTTGTTTTCTTAAAAAAACCCACAAGAGTAGAAATGTCTGTTCCCTGCCAGCATGTTGTTAGAAGGACACTTGCTCTGTGTGCAATCAATGGTCTCTCCGCAGCGGTCTGACACATCCCCTAGGAAAGTCACACCTATAGTTCTGCAATCAGCAAAGCTCATGCTTCCTGCTTATCCAAGGGATCAGAAGGAGTGTGTCAAACCCCTGGAGAAGACTGATGCTTCCACATAGAGAGCAAGGGCCCTTCTCTACAGCAAGTTAGCAGTTTATTTGGGTGTTAAAGTAAAGGAACAGTGTATTTTCAATAAGCCCATATTCTGGGTTATAATTACATTGTTTATTGTAAAATAATTTTTGGAAGTAGTTTCACATTGTTACAGTATTGCATTCATATCTTTGTTATTGAATTTAATGAACATATTTTAGATTAGCTTCTAAAAGTAACTCTAATATACTCAGTGCTATTACTCTGCTTCCTGCCTAACAGCTGCTGAGTCAGGATATCATCCACATAGGGAGTACATTGTTACCTGCAAGACCACTTTGACACTTGTCGTGTGAAAAAGGAGTAGTAAAGCACAACTAATGCATAGCAATGCAAAACAGGAAGCAAAATGTGTAATTGTAAAATATGTCTGTTCTCCTGTACAGATAGAAATACAAATTATACATGAAAAAAACATTAATACATCCTGATAAAATTAGTATGAAGTTGACCTCTTTGCATTGTTTATCTAAAAAAAAGTAAAGTATAATACATTCACAAAAAGAAGAAACAATATCCCGTAACTGAGGCAGAAAGGGACCCTGGAAATGTTTTATATAGGACAGATTCGATTTTGCTGGGAATTTTATAGGAAATTTCAAAAGGAATTTCATAACACTGCTGACTTTCATTAGACGCCCGCTCAGATCGAGAGAGCTCCTGGCCGGCCGTTTTTTTACTACGGCCGGCCCGGAGGTAGTTAATTATTATTTTCATTGTTCTTCATTTGCATAAATAAAGCCTCAATAAAATCTGCCTTTTAGGAATACTTGCCTCATACCGGTGCCTATGACGCTCTTCTATTAACTCTGCATTATTGTAGAGTTTCTCTAAAAATAGAAAGGAATATTGTAAATGAATCAGTTTAAACAACTATGCACAATATAGTCTAATGCAGATTTTAAGTTTCAGATTAAATGATTTTGAAAAGATCCTTCTCACCCCTGTGAACACTGTACTAGATCAAACTTTTTCACAATATGCTAAATGTATGTCCAACAAAAACTTTTCTTTTTGGTTTTGGATAGAGAAGGGAAGGGTTAGCACCCATGTCAGTTTATTTTCTGCTTTCTGTGTTATGTTGGAGAGATTTTCCTTCACTTCCGGTCCTAGAGATACAACAGGAGGTGAGATAAAATCCCTGCAAAGTGACGGAAAATCTCTCTTAGATATCTGTCACCAGTACAAGTGTCCCTACTGGAAGATTTACCATTAATTCCCGTTCAGGTGACAACTGTAACATTTAGGATTTCCCTTCACTTTTTGACTCGGTAAGGGTCTGTGTCGATGGTCATTTGTGTGCTTCAACAGGGTATTGCATCACTATGGAAATTGAAAACTTCTATGGAAATGCAAAACTGGCTTAAAGCAGGTCAAAAAGGGATCACCTGCAGGTCAAAAGAACTTGTCAGTGAATTGTGAATGATCTTATGGTGCATTCCCACAAACGCAAACACAGACACATTGGTATACAGAGGAAAATACACCTGTATTTATGATGCATTCAAGCCACAGCTATTGTACCAGCATTTCTGCTGTATGTCCATACGCCTGTATTTGTATTCATGGGAGTGAGCCCTTAGAAGTGTGTCAAACTGATGGCATAGACACAAGCCCAACAGGCCCTAACAATGGTCACCAAGACAAACATAGAAGGTGAATATTCTCAACGGGCACACAGACGGCAATTAAAATTTACCAGGGGTTCTACTCTTTCCCAATTTCATCAGGTAAAACATCTGCCGTATACAGTATGTATTTCAGCTGTGTATATGGCTGTTGCGTGAAGTTCTGCTTTAAGGTTTCCTTCTCCTAATTCAGATGTATCTCCTTTGTAGCCAAATTTTCTCCTTTACAGCTGTCTAAATTACAGCATATTGCCAATCTCAGTAACCATGATTGTCAAGGGGCAACTTGTATATCAGTTAAAAGTTTAAAAAATGGTTTTGGCTTGAGTTGGGCTGTAACAAAATCATATCATATTTGGATAAAATGGGTACATACTTAGGACGGAATCAGAGGCTGTAAAAACAGTCTTTCTCTTCCCCAGTCGCATTGTTCCACCCATGTCACCTGGGTTGTGTTCAGGCATATCAATGATCTAAAAAGAGTCAAACAAATATGTTTTTATGTACTAGAAAATATGTACAAATGCCTTATCCTAACATTCCTAGAAAACAACAGAGGTTTGATATTATTTTAGATATATCAGATAAAACCCAGCACACCCTTAATAATATAAGCTAAAACTACCCCTGTACTTACTTACCTCTCCACGATGCTCAATCTAAAAATATATTCCATTGCTGTTTGGACAATAACTTCTTATTGACTTGAAGTGGGTCATATTCCTGGCATCTATGCTGTAGGAGTACAGCTCCAATAAAGTCTAGTTAGGAGTTAGTGCACAGGAGATGGCAGCATCAGAGGAGATTTGTGCACTGAGCATGTAAATACCACAGAAGGCTGCCACCGTCATGGAGAGGTATTTATGCACTGTGTTGGGAGGGGGGGGTTAAGTTAGCTTAGGAGGCTCAAAACAGGAGCAGTGTAGCTGTCCATTGAAAATTTAAAACGGTCATAGAAGAATCATGGAGGCTGCCATTGCTGGCCATTCCTTAAGGAAATGCTAGTTACCTAGTTATCATCATGCTGATGTATTGTTGTTGTCAATGCATTCTGAATTATTGACCTGGAACTAGTATAGAGATAATAGATTCTGACACTTCTCTGACATTAATATATGGCATGTTTGTTTTGGGTCTGTGACTCACAAAGTATTGATGCCAGACACAGCAAGGCAACAAGCATGTTTACAAGTAGGCCAGCAATGGCAGCCCCCACATGTCTCTTATGACAGGGTCACTTTAATGTCACTAACTCACTGAGGAGGAAAGCCAGGATCAAGAATGGGCAACTCTGGTTCCTGCACCTTTAAATAGCGGTCAACAATTGCAACTTTCATATTTTTGTCACAGCATTTACATTCAAGGCAGTATTACTTTAACGTTCATGTGTATGGTTACATGCTGGAGTCTAACTTATCATAAGATGAATGATGGCCATGATAGGAGAGCAGACTTCAAAACTCAACAGCAAACGATTCCTCCCTTCAGCATTTTTCCCACAACTGACATATCATTTAAAACTTACCTCAAGAAAGGATTAAGATATATTCAAAAGTAAGAATTACTTTTATCCCCAAATCAGCTCTAGGTGCAAGTTCCTCCTGGTTAGCTTGTCTCTTGATCTGACAGCTCTGCATAGGTGAACCAATGACTACTGATATGGAGGCAACTCAGTACTTCATTTAAGATAGGTCCAGTAACTGCTATAAAAAGGTGGCTGGCCAGAATAAAAGAATGCAATTGTTTTGCAAAATATTTATTTTTTCCATTTGGTAAAATTGTAGTGTAGCTGATGGTCTACAACCTAATCTGCATATGTATTTATAGTATAGTAGAGTTGAAATTAAAAGAAGTTACGCTTCTCCAATGTCATACCTTCAAATCTCCCCTGCTAAGATCTGCTCCCACCAACAGGGATGATTTTTGGGTCTGCTGCTATCATGAGTTCATGATGAATACTAAGGATTAGGACTGGACAAATTCAGATTGCAATGATGACAACAACAACAAACAAATGCTCAGAGGTGACGATATTTGAGCAATTTATGTGCAGTTTCATTTACTGCAGTTCTGATGGTGCCTTGGAGCAACACAATTTGCTCCATTACGGAACATGTCCAAAACAAAAAACCTATATTGCAGACCGTCATGGACCAAACTCCTGGATACATAAAGCAAACTTTGCAGAAAAAAGGAAATAATTTGGGAACTGTGTCCGCAAGAAAAATTGCCTATTTGTACACAATTGTTTCAAAAGCTATGTTAATGTAAGCTAAAACCTCAAGACCACTTTGTGTCTCATATCCCAGGAGACTCATAAATATGTATTCTCACTGCCTGTCTGGTGGCAGCTTCTTAAACTGAATTAAGCAAAGATCTCTATAATGTTGTGTATTTTGCATTATGTGATATCCTAGTTCTAATGTTAAGTGAGTATATCATACTTCTGTTCCATATTTGCCCAAATAGTCCTTTTTTCGGTGGGGGCGGCCACAGCGTCCCAGGATGCTAAGAGCTCTTACCAACCTGTGACATTCTGTGCAACTTTCCGCCAAGCTCACTGATGTCATCAGCTGCCAGGAGCTGAGTGGGACCCTCTGGCTCACATCCCACTGAGCTCCTGCCAACCAGTAACATCGGTGAGCTGGGCGGGACATCGGAAACAGCTGCTCACAGCTCGGTGTGGCATTTCCTTCCCCCTACCTCCAAATGATAAATTAGGAAGAGTACTAAGCCTCTCAACTGACCTATTATTTTGATAGGGAGCCTTAGTGGCCAATAATAACGCTTAGGAGATCAAAGGGGTGGGGCCAGGTTTCCCATACATTGCCACACAAGTAAGGCCCTTCTGAGCACCCAAAGTAAAAGAAACCTAGGAAGGGACCTGACATGCAGGCGCCCAGGGTGCTATGTGTTCCCAGTGCTGAAGTCTTAGTCCCATTTTTTTCTACTTTAAGTCGCAATCACATGATCTTCCAACGCTGCGTCCTTCTCCGTTTACTTCCTGCAGGGGTCATTCTTCCAGGTGTCCATTTCACTGCTCTTGTGACACTGACAAATCATCTTGGCTGTCCATTGGAGGTGTCCTCAGGATCCAGAGGACTACAGACTACCCAAAGGGCAGTCAAGGGGACTAACTGGTAAGAGTTACCGTGTGGCACTGGACTAGCAGTCCCCACCAGAAGAAACAGCATCAGCAAGGTACCTGGATGGGGGGACTCAGGTATGTATAATTTGCTTCAAAAGTAAGAAAAAAACACTTGTCGGGATAGGTTAGAGTGAGGTGGGATAGAGGGATGGTAGGGAAATAGATTTTGAGTGGAGTTGGACTTTAAATCAGCTTGTTGTACTCCAGTGCACAGCAGTTCTCAGCATGAGAGAGGGAAGGCTGGCAATGACAGCCAATTAGACTTGCTTAAAATAAGAAATAGTACAGAGATGCCTATATGAGAAAGTGTCATTGACTTACGTGTGTAGTTAAATTATGGTTGGTGTTAAAGCCTTTACCCAAATCTTTAAAATAACAACAAACACACCTTTAGAAATGTTTAGTAATGACAATCTACAAACACATACTTATAGATAATTGCCGTGTTTGTTTGCTTTGCATACCTTATTTCTCTTTTCTTCCCTAGTCTTCTGACAGTGGCCATGTTTACTAAGGGCAGATTACGAACTTTCCTATAACATTCTGAAAATCTGGCACACGTCACTAGACATCTGACCATGCGCATCATCTCAGGGGAGGAAAATGCCTTTCACTGAGATGAGATTTCCCAGCAATGCTCCACTGGTGACAAGGCAATCCTAGCATGCATTGCTTTGGCAAACTGAAGTAATTTGCACTTTTAAAGCAGGAAGTGAATGCTCTGCATGTGTAAGTATTTCAAAATCACTGAATTTTACACCTGACATGTTTATGTTATTATTAATCATCAAACATAGAGGGATGCATTGGTAGATATTGATTTTTGAGTGTAAAGATCCGCTTTAAGCTTTACATCTCATGTTCTTTTACTAATATATTTGCAATTTCATGTGAACATTTTTTTTTTCATTCTCAGATCTCTGCAGAAACACAAATAACTGCAAATTTACCGGGCTGTTGTTTGGAATCAAAGACAAGAAAAGATCCATAGGTATTTGCGAAAGCAACACATTTCGCTAGAATTACTTTGGTGCTCAAGTATTCTACAAAGTCCCATTTATGTCACATCTTAAGCACTGCAAGGATTAAACACATCTCCAGCCATGTAAACTGCAAAACTCTCAGATAAGAGCTGTATATCATTCTGCTTGAACTGTGCTGGCAGGCTGTACCACTTTTATGGATCACTTGTCAATTAAAATGCCCTAGATGCTTCTTTTCTGTTCCAAGGAAGATGTGACATCTTATGGGATTTATAACTTTTGTTTTCAAAAAAAGGGCAATTATATACAAAATAAATCAACTGAGATTCCTTCCTAACCCCCTGTACATATTTGATGTCCGATCTTTAATTTATTTACTTTTCCCTCTCCTGTGAGACTGCAAAGCTGCAAGTGCCATCTGCTTCTCATAGAGTTAAATTATATTTTTGTAGAATTTGTAATATATTATGATTTAGTTTGCTGTTTAGTATGCAGAATATTGGGCAGCACAGTGGCTCAGTGGCATAGGTTAGCACTTATGCCTTGCAGTAGTGGGGTTTGAATCTCCAGGATGCGGTTTGTGTGCGTTTCCTCCCACATTTCAAGGTCATGCTGGTAGGTGAAGTGGCTCCTGCCTAATTTGGCTCTAGTATGTCTGTACAGATTGAGTGTCACAGTCTGCATATTGGTCCAAACCTTGTATCAATGGGAGGGGGGTGGGGAGTAAAGACCTGCCTTGCAAAATTGCCAAGAAAATTCTGAAGTAAAAAAGCTCATGGTTCCCTGAGCGCTGGCCCACAGTTACCAAGGGACAGATATGACTGTACAGATATCACATACATGCAGAACATTATTCTGACTATATGGTCAGTTATTCTTTAAATTTTTTGCATTTGCTAAATATTTTCTTGCCTTAAAAATAATTTTCAAGTTCACGGGTGTCTTGCGGTAGTGTATCAAACTGCATAATTTACAATGCCAATTGGTTCTCAACATAGTTTTCTTAAAGAGCTACTGTAACAACAAATATGGTTTTCTGATAATCATTTTTAGTTACTACATGTAATTATGGTGTTTAGTATATTCATTGTTTTTTATTTCTATTTTACCCGCCTTTATTAAAGCTGAAGTTTATGCTGCATATATTTTGCTTTCCCTCCTCATCAACATGCCAATACAATTATTAAATAACACCATTCTGTTTTCATTACATGCCTCATTTTAGACCCAGTGACAACATTGCTGGGTCTCTGTGATTCTCTATATAACGCAGAAATATAGTTGGGGCTGGCAGGGTGCTATTAGTAGCTTCCTGAAAACAGGAAGCTTTGTTAATGCTCAC